CCCCAAAACCCCAAAACCCCAAAACCCCACTGGAAAAGCTGTAAATTGAACATTATGCCGGATAATCTAATTTCTTGGCAATCTTGGGACCTCAAGGACAGTTCTGTACTTCTCATAGTTGTTGATATTTTCGTTCTCTAATCTGAACAGACTCCATTGAGCCCTTCTATAAATCTCTAGTACGCCTAATACCAAAGTGAGCCCTTCTATGCTCCTAAAAGTCGCTGGCAAATAAGAAGGTGGTAGAAAAGAAAGAACCCAGGCAAACCTAAGGATTAGGTTTGTAACTGAGGAAAAGTAGTAGTAGCTTGGAGGGTACAAAATCTGCTCTCTAAGCAATCTTTTGTCTCTGAGTAATCCCCAATCCATAATTATGTCCCAAATGTAGCTGTAAGTAGTCGCAAATAAATACAGCCCAATTGTAATATTTTTCATTTCAGGATTCAAACCATAGAAATAATTAGAGCAAATCATAACTATTGATGCAAAATATTTTCCAGCATTGACAAGATGAGGGAAAGCATCTCCTGTGTACCACCATTTGTTTACACATTGCCAGAATCGAATGTGGAATGGCAAGTACCAAGCGAAGATAGCCCAGAACATCTTGGAATGGCATTGGCCTGTCTCAAAAACTCTCTCATCTTCATTAGAGTTTACCCATCAAAGTATCAAAGATACATCAATAAAGGGTTTCACAAGACTGGTCATCACATCAGCAACAAAGAATTCCAAGAATCTCACTTCTGAGATTGGAGAATATAAACAGTGGAAAGTTGCCACAATTGTAGGAAATCTTATCACACTTTGGAATAACCGCAACGGATTAAAGAATACGGCTATAAATGTGATTAACAATATGTAAGCAAAAAGATCATGACTATAGGGTAAGTAGCCCTTAAGAACGCTGACTTCTCCAATCATGCAGATAAGCCATGCTATCATGAGCATTGAGGCTAGAGTGTACATCCCACCAGGAGCTAATCTGTTAGCAGGATTGGATTCAAATATGATAACATAGTTGACTCTAAATTCTTTGAGGAAAATAATGACTACCCCACATCATAGGAGGGTAAATATAAAACTGAGAGTTCCTCTGTAAATGGGATATATCTCTTTAATCTTGTCCAAGGGATAATACCCTTCCCTTGCAGGAGAGCATATAAAGAAGATCAAGATCAAGGTAAGACCAATCATGATACCAAGCAGTAGCTTTAGAGTACCCCTACCTTTGGGTTTATGAGCTGAGAGGGTAGATTCCAGGAATTTAAAAGCTTTATTTTCCTTATGGTTGAAGTAGTGCTTAGAAACAGAGATCATTATCTTCTTCCTCTCTTGGATACATCCTTTCTCTTCTGTTAGAGGCAAACTGTAGATGAATAGGTTGAGCTTGTGATTAAATTTGCTCTCCTTCACTGTGAAGAGAATTTTATCAAACTTTAGGAGGATCTTTTGAATAGCAACTATATTTATTTTTGCAAACCCATCCAGCCATGAAAGTTTAGAGTAAAACTCTACAAATTTCCTTGACCACGAAGAAGAATAGCCTAGGCCATCCAGATTATATTGCTTAAGATCCTCTTGCAAATTCATATGGGTAGGATCTGTGCTAATCTTGCCCAAAAATCTTGTGTAAAAGAGGTTATATTCCTCTGTGATTCTCTTTTTCTCTGTAATATAAAAATCATTGATATCTTTACATTCTACTACAAATTCCTCGAGTAACTCTTTAACATCAGTGGTTAGCGAGATCAGAGGTGCTTCCAAGTCAGATGTTTTGGGTGATGATAATTCGGAATAATAGTTCAGAGAATCATCTTGCGATAAATTGTGATGAGAGTCTATTGGTATCATCTTCTGGTCTTCATCAACGCCTTCTGCCACAACAACTTTTCACTCCTCTGTGAAGTCAAATTGACTCGTGAGTGGTTTATTAAGACGATATTTCACCATCTTGCTTGCTATATGTTCAATGTGTTCGAGATATCGAGCATATTTGAGATAATGCTCATCCCATTCAGGGATTTTATGAAACTCAAATTGCTCCTTGAACCTCATTTTCAGCTTAGATTCCTCAATTTAATATTTATAGAAAGGGGTTTTGGGGTTTTGGGGTTTTGGGGTTTTGGGG